TTTCATTTGAATTTATATAGTATGTATATTAATATGATTAAGTTTACTAATCTTTAGCCATTCGAAATGTAAATGTAACTTTATCCTTCTTTGTTTCTTAGACATAAAAAGAAAATCTAATGGATTTAACAAACAGGATATTTAATTGATGCAATTACGTAAACTTTATATTTCTTTGACTATTACATTGCTTTAAGCTATTCTTATTATAAACAACAAACAATCTCAGTTGAAGCTTTAGTCAACATTTTTTAATTAACGTTTAAGAAATGAGATTTTTTATTTTATTTTATTTATTTTTTTATTTTTATTCCTCTTTCAATAATGAAACAAATAATTATGCTTGACAAGTATTGAATATAAAATAAGATTAATACCGAAAATGTTGTATTTGTTAACAAGAATAGAAAATTTGCGTTTATTTTTAAAGTAATCAACGAGGATATTTTGTACTCATTTACGCAATGATACTTCGTTTTTTAACGTGAATTAATTAATTACGAAATTTATTTATATATAAATTTCAATTATAATAGAAATATTCATTAAATAATTTCTCTTATAATTAAAAAAAGGCAGAAAATCGATAAGAGCAATCTATAAATTGACGTATAAGTAAGAGAAGAAGATATTAAATAAAAAAAATCAGAACTTTGATAAAAAAAATAATAAAGAAAATAAGTATAATAGATCTCCAATCCACACACTATTTCTTGTAGTGTATTGTATAGTAGTAGAACGTTGATCTTTTTTTTTCGCTGGTGACCTTTAACACCTTTCAGTTCGTGACAACCCCACAGGCCTGAAACGTATAAATCAGACAGGTGATGGCATCTTTGTCTGACCCGATTGACCCCTTGCTGACATTTGTGGGCTCCAGGCTAATCTCATTCTTGTTCTTAGAATTAAGGCATACTCATTATTAATTTTTATATAACTTTAAAATTAAATGAATCGTGATAGAGAGATAACATTATTAAATAAACGACAAGTTCGATACTTATAAAGAAATGGATAAACTAAATTATAGATTGACATTTTTGGCATAAAACACGATAATTATGACAATATAAAAAATTTAAAAACCTATAATAATAATAATAATGAATAAATTGCTAAAGTCTTACGTCATTTGTAGTATAATTTTAAAATATTTTACATCACTTTAATATAAAATGACACGGAAAAAAAATGATAAAAAAATGAAATATTGGAAGGACAGTTGGTTCTGACAATTATTGCTTATCATTTTTTACTATTTAGACTTTAGAAAAACACGTCTACTATTTTCAAATTATTTAAACTTTCCTTAAAATAAAAAAATAATAATTTGATCTAAATGCAAAAAAACATATTTAAGAAGAAATTTTTCTCCATACAATTTAGATTATATCAATTCCTTTCTTTTTTCGAGAAAGATAAGTAAGTTACGTTAATCATCTACGCGTAATTATTAATATATGCTCTCCATTTTAAATTAATAGTGTCTTGCCCTTATACAGTACATAATACTTTTCTTGTTAGCAAGCCCCTGTACATTATACTTTTCCTGTTAGCAATAGTCATACCGTCGTCTATCTAACTCCTTACAAGAGAAAATTTTTGAATTGAAATAACGTAACTTCTTGTTTGTATTGAAAGTTCGTATATAGTTAATTGAGCCTTCTTTCTCATAAGGTTTCCATATATTTTCTCGGATTTTATCTATCTAACTCCGTCTTCGAGATTAAGGAAGGACAGACAATTAGACGGACGACATAGACAATAAAAAACCCTTACATATTTAATATAGTTACATATATAGTTTTATTAAATATAATAAACTATATTATTTTTTTAATCCTTTTTAATATTAGTATAAACTTTATTTTATATTAATTTATTATTGTTAATTTTTAATGAGTTTTATTATTGTTGTTATGAATGGAGAAACTTTTCCTTGCCTTAAGGTGGCATTTCTATTATGTAAATAAATATAATGAATAAATGAAAAAATAAAAATTAATATACATTTGATGAATATTAAGAATTTTATGAATAATATATGAAAATTTCAAAACAATTTAATTTATTAAAATAATTATAATTTAAAAGTAATAAAATCGAAAGTTTTCCGAAAACTTTCGCTAATATTAAATTCCAATAAATCATTAAAATTAATTTTATTTGTTAAACAAAATAACCCTTATATAACTTATTCATTAACGTATTACCGGAAAGCATATATTATTATATTTATTTATTATTAATATTATTTATATAAGTGTATATAATTATATTAAAATAATTTTAAATTGTATAAATCAGAATAAATTCTGTGATAATATTTTCTAGTTTTAAATAATTTTTAGAAAAATCTATTATTTATAATCATTTTATGCAGCAAAACCTGTCTAAAACGGAACCTAAACAAAGCAAAAAAACCTGTCTAAACGGGNCATGTACTGTCCATGAACAATCATAATTATATTAAAATAATTTTAAATTGTATAAATCAGAATAAATTCTGTGATAATATTTTCTAGTTTTAAATAATTTTTAGAAAAATCTATTATTTATAATCATTTTATGCAGCAAAACCTGTCTAAAACGGAACCTAAACAAAGCAAAAAAACCTGTCTAAACGGGATAAATTCTTCAGAACGGAGCGATTTTCTATTTTAAAAACAAACTCGTTCAAAAAGAAAACCTGCCAAACCGAAAAAAAAATATATGCGATTCCGGTTTACACAGGTTTACTGTATACAGGTTAATATTAACATTTAAATTAATTAAATGCAGCCGAATCTCCGAACAACGGTCACTGACAGGAATATAAAAGTGGCTGTTGTTGAAAGGTTAATTTGTATGCATTTTTATTAAAAGAAGAAAAAGTGGTCGCTGTTTAGAGGTTATATCTGAAGTAATTTATCTCTTTAAAACACAGGTTAATAGAGAACGGATAATAAGTCTATTATAATACTCGTGAATTAGATAAGCATACTACATGTGACTACTGTTTATATAATAATTTAAAAATATCAGATTAAAAGATTATTTTAAAAAATAAAGTAAACTTATTTATGTTGAACCTTGAAATTTGACCTCAATTTAGAAAGGTTAATGTAATTCTATGATATATTGTTCTTTGAAAATAGATGTGTTATAAAAATTACACAAAATAATATTTTCTTATATTTAAATAAAATAATTATTAAGTATATAATTGTCTATGTAAAGATAGTTGAAATTATTAATAAATATACCATGTTTTTAAGAAAAATATAAGAAGGAAATAAGGAATTTTCGTTCAACCGCATAATAAATTTTATTTATTCTCCTTATATTATTATTATTATTATTTGATATGAAGATTGTAGATAAATAAGCTACAGGTATTTGTAAATAAGGCTTCTCTTTCCTTTATATTGAAGATAATTAATGAAACCAAACTTATTTCTAAAGATAGCAACAAGTAATTGAAGATTTATAATTTTTTATTTATTGAATAAGTCATTTTCATTTGAATTTATAGTATTTTCTTTTTGGTTTTGGTGGTTGGTTAACGTTTTCATTTTTTTAATGTTACTTTTGAGTTCTGTTCTTGATGAAATCTTCTACAAGATTGCAAGTATTAAAATTATCTTTTTAAATATTATTACAGACATAGAACAACATTGTATTATGATTAATTAAGAAATATCTTGGAGGATTTTATAAAATTTGTTAAGAGACGGAATAATACACAGTTAAGAAGCTCCATAAATCATCCAATTTAACTGCTTTTCGAATTTTTTAATCACACACATGATTATTTTTATTTAAGAACAGAGCTTAGAGATCTCACTCAAGCACTTATTTTTCTTACAGATAATCCCTGTTGCTGTTATCTTGTCACTGTTACATGACTTATCGTCAGACCTATGAGTTTTCATGCACTCAACATTTATAGTTATAAATATTTCTTGATAAGTATTATATGAACAGCAGGGTTAGAAACTGCTTCTTTGTCAGAATTTTAGATGATTATGACATTTCAAAAACGATATAGTCTCTACTTTTTTACAAGTATCTTTCACCACTTCTAAATTTAAGATAATTATTGCAAAAAGTTCTTTTTCTGTTACAACGGATACGCATTTGAACCTGGCCTGAACTATCGTAATTCTTTTGTGAATAATTTAAATCAAATCGGGAATTATTTCTATCTTTCGACAATGATAAACGATCCAATTGAAGGCCTATTCTGTCTGTAATGGACAAAATTGAAGTAAGTCAT